GGGGCGCGGGGGCGGCGGGGGTGGATTCCGGCGGCGGTCGGGGTGGCGGCGGCAGGGGACGGAGGGGACAGATGGGGCGTGCAGGCGCGGTGGCGGCGTACGGTTGGTGCACTCCCTGTCTGGTGTGCCATTACTAGTTAGAACTAGTAATGGCGCACTTCGGTCTGATGCACCATTAGTATGTATGTAAAAATGGAAAAAAAAAATAACTAGTGGCGCACCTTTTGTGTGGTGCGCCATTAGTGTCTTCCACACTAATGGCGCATCACCAACCGGTGCGCCATTAGTATATAGTAGTGGCGCACTACTTCCCTGGTGCGCCATTAGTGTCAATCATATCTATAGCCCTTTTCCTAGTAGTGTCAGTGCTGATTGAGGGGCTACGGCGTAAGTCGACAGAGAGTCGAAGCCTATTCAGCGAGAAAAGCGAGTGACACATAGTTTGGACTGGAGCCCAGTGGTCTGATGGAAGCGTGAAACTCGTCATCGGTCGGTGATGATCGGTAGTACTCTGTAGTGGAGGTTGAGTGGTGTGGGTTCACGATCCTTGAGACTCGACCAGGACAGCAGAGGCTCGACGCAGTAATAGCGGCGAGGCGTGCGGTATGCACGAGACATGGAGACGGGCCAGGGCTCTGGTGGTCATACATGTGGTGAGACAACTGCGAATTTGACTTGGGATGACTACAAGCAACGGTGAAATTCTTTCAAGTTTCAAACAGGCGGTCAAGAAAGGAGCGGTGATGTTGAGTTCAGGTAACTCTTATGTGTGACACCCAATATGTGAGTTGTTCACTTTCACGCAGGTCAGTGATCGGTGTGTGATGGCGTTGACGGATACTCTGGAAGTTGGGAGCACGGACTAGAGTAACAAGGAACTTAATTGTGCTCGAGTGTTGACCATGGTCAAGAAAAGAAGGGACTACAAGTTGCAGGTGGGGTCACATGGAGTCTTTGGAGTAGCAGCGGTGCTCATGGGATAAGCTCAAATCCAATGTACATGGAAGTTTGACGCATGAACGAACTCAAGGTGGTGGAGAATATTCGCCAAGGTGGAGTTTGTTAGAGTTGTGTCGAATATAGTGTACAAGGTAGGTTACAGTTGGACTTGTAGTTGTATTGTGTTTACATAGGATATGGAGTCGTGTCCTAGTAGGACACTTGTATCCTAGGCCTCTCATATATAGCGGGGGTAGACACACGATGTAACCTATGCCAACATAATAGCACCGGAACGCAGGGGAAGTCGGCGGCATGTGCCGGTGTCCAGGGCGACCGGGTGCGGTATTATAGCGGTGTCATGGGGAGGAGCACCCATAGTCAAGCCCCGGGGATGTAGCCATATCGGTGAACCTCGTTAACAAATCCAAAGCTTTCAGTCGATGTGAAGAAGCTGTCCAACACGTATTTGTATGAGAATAAATTCCAGACGGAGATTCAATGTCTGACGAAGGTGAAGCACAGAAATGTTGTACGATTTTTAGGATATTGTTGCGACACACAAGGGAAAGTAGCAACGCATGAAGGAAATTTTGTCATGGCTGACATACAAGAAAGATTACTCTGCTTTGAGTTTCTACCAAAGGGGGATCTTTCTAACTATATCTCCGGTAGGGCCACAATTTTCCTTGCTAAAGATATCATGAACATTCATACACAGTTTTACATTCCATGTCATGTACTAAGTACTAACTACAGTTTGAATATCAAGGACTTCATTCCAGATACTGAACCACCTTTCTTGTGTCCAATTTATGTAGATGCGTCCAGTGGACTTGAATGGCGAGATCGCTACAAAATAATAAAAGGAATCTGCGAAGGATTGAATTACCTTCACATAAATGGTATTGTTCACCTTGATCTTAAGCCGGCAAATATCCTCATGGATGCTAAAATGGTGCCAAAAATTGGCGACTTTAGTCTACCGAGGTGCTTTCAGGAAGAGCAAACCCGCACTATTGCTACAACATTTGCTGGAAGCCTGTAAGCTAGCTAAGCTACTTGAAAACTCAGCCTTTCTTGCCAGTGATGATTTATATGCACTATCTCTGCACATTAATTGATCTTTCTCCTTCTCATGCAGTGGATATCTAGCACCAGAATTCAGCGACCGCATAATTACACATCAATATGACTTGTACATTCTTGGAGTAATAATCACGGAGATACTGACAGGAGAAAAAGGTTATAGTGATGTTGAGGAAGTAAGGACAATGGGCAATCCCCAGATAAAAGCTTTATTCTATATAATTACATGTGCTTTTATTGTGACCAATGCAATTTTTAATAATATATTTTGTACTATTTAGACACTAAACTACTCCCTCCGTCCCATAATATAAGAGCGTTGTGTAGTGTCAAAAACGCTCTTATATTATGGGACAGAGGGAGTGTATTGCTTGATCAATTCCAACTATGAAACCTTGCACGCCATGATGCTACTTCTAAATTCAGTGCAATAAGCCTCTAAAATGGTTCAGTTTTATAGCAATGACTTGGCAAACCACAGGCTCCTTCCGCATCTGAGCCATGGACACAAACCAGAGGTTCCTTCCGAATCTCAGCCATGGACATACACTTCCCTTCATTTGAAAAGTTCGTCCAAGTGCTAAACAAGAACGCTGTAGAAAACTAATTAGCATTAGTGAAGCTTGGGTTAGATTGGATAATTGACATAAATTGTACGGACATATAGGCCAAGTTACACTAGTGCAGAACCGGGCTTTAGTGCTGGTTCGTGACGGCCTTTAGTGCCGGTTGGCGAACCGGCACTAAAGAGTGGGGACTAAAGGCCCCCCTTTAGTACCGGTTCGTCACGAACCGACGCTAAAGTGCAAACACGTGGCACGAGCCAGGCCCGTGTGCGTGTAGGACATTAGTACCGGTTGGTAACACCAACCGGTACTAAATGTTTGGGTGTTTTTTTTAATTTTTGCTTTAATTTTGTGTTTTCAATTTGGCTTTATTTTTCATTTAATTCTTTTTTGTTTGCTGATATTTCACGATACTACAAATTGTAGACGTTATGCATATATATTAAATAGATTTTCTCGTACATAGAACC